GCATCCAAGATTGATGGAATCAAGAGGAAGGAAAGCATTCAAGATTGAAGGAATCAAGAGGAAGGAATCAATTAACCATCTGGAGATTTAGAATCAATCAGAGATTAATTTAAATGGAAAAGAAGCAATCGAAGATCTTTCTAGATAATCAATCAAGCTGCTATTTTCAGAAAGACCAATAATCAAGGAGTAAAACTCGCGTTATCAAAGCCTGTAGAAGGAAAGCTATCAATGAGGAAGAGTAACGACAAGCTGCTAATTTTGGAAGGACCAACAATCAAGGAGTAAAACTCGCTCATCAAGATCTGTAAAAGGAAAGCTATTTATGCCCTCTTATCAAGGAAGAGCAACGACAAATAACCTTATTCTTGGAAAAAATCAATCTCTTTCCAAGAATCAAATCTCTTGGGTTGTCAAATCTTTTCAGCAAACGGCCTCCTACAAAGTATTTGTACACATCCTTAAGGCTTAGACAAATATACTTTGATCGAACCAAACACCCTCTCTTTGTTCTACTGCAAACAAACATTGTAGCTCTCTAAGACCTGCTGTGTAACAAGTTAGAGAAGAAAGAGAGAACAACACTGATGAGACATTGTATCAAAAGAGACAAGTGATATAGGAACCGAGCTATCATGCCATTTCCATTGTACTTGAATAAAGGCATTCACTAAAGAGAACTCCCTTGCAACCCAAGGGGATTGGACTAGGATTCACATTGAATCCGAACCAGTATAAAAATTTCGGTGTCTTTAATTCCTGAATTTTTTTTCATCATCTTATATTATGTTATTACAACTGTTATTTTATTGCATCTAGTTGACTAATCGAAAAACCATTCAACTAACAGAGATTAAGTTTAAAAATATACAATTCACCCCCCCCCCTCTTGTACTTTCAATTGGTATCAGAGCAAGGCTCATATTTTTCTTTTGCTTAATAGCTTGTGAGAAAAGATCATGGCAAATCAAGTTATCATAGGAGCTCTCTTCCAGGAAGGAACTTCACAAGTTAGACCACCATACTTCAATGGACATTATTTCTCTTACTGAAAAGTGCGTATGGAGATCTATGCCAAGACATATGATGTTAAAGTTTGGAGAGTCATCAAAAAGGGGAACTATCCCCTGCCAGTTGCTACTCCACCACTTGGTGATCCTAAAGATATAGAATCATATACAAAATAGCAAATGGAAGTGGTACAAGTTAACAATAAAGCGAGAAACCTGCTTTATAATGCTATACATGGTGAAGAGTATGAGAAAATCTCTAGCTATGATACAGCCAAAGAAATATGGGACAAGCTTGAGGTTACATACGAAGGAACCAGCAAAGTAAAAGAAACATATATCAGCATGTTGGTTCATGATTATGAACTCTTTTCAATGAAAGAAGGAGAGTCTATTGAAGAGATATTTGCCAGATTCATCAAAATAATTAGCGATCTAAAAGTATTTGGCAAACCATATACGAGTGGTTATCAAGTCAGAAAAATTATCAGAAGCCTACCAACCACTTGGCAGACCAAAGTAGTCACACTTGAATCTCAAGATCTAAATAATTTATCCTATGATGAACTACGAGGAGAACTCACAACCTTTGAAAAGACACATCTCAAGAAGACTAGTCAAGAAGAAAAAAGGAAAACAGTCGCATTCAAGGCCTCAACTGAAATAGCTAAAAATGAAATCGATGATGATCTTGAAGCTCTACAAGAAGAGATTGCTATGTTATCAAGAAACATGGATGGCCTAATGAGAAGATTCAGAAATACGAGAAAAGGAATAATTCCACATAGGCGATCCAGGCTATACAACGAATAGGACAAGAATGATGGAAATGCTATGAGTGTGGAAAATTTGGACACATTCAAGCTGAGTGCCCAGATCTAAAAAGAAAAATTTCCAGAGGCTTTAACAAGAACAAATCTTTTGGAAGTTGGAGCGATGAAGATAGTTCAGAACACGAAGAGATAGCAAATCTTTGCTTCATGACGATTCTGGAAAACAAGATGAATAAATCCTCAGGATGATAGATGGATGAGGACACCTCAGATGACGAATGCAAAGATGACAATGAGAACTATTTCATGGCACGAGGTGAAACAAGTCAGATAAGATCTTATAACTGTGAAAGATGCAATGAATTGCAGGATATTCTTGATTTAACTTTGAAAGAGTCTCAAAAAATGATGAATGAGCTCAGGAGACTAAATAAAGAAGTTAAAGACTGGAATCTCAAACATGAAGTATGTGAAATTGAAAAAGAAGTACTTCAAGAAAAATTTGAAGAATTGCAAATGCAACTCAATGGCATGCTCAAATCCACCAGTCACAGTTCTGTCAGGTCAAACAAGGCGACTTACAAGTCAACTGGAAAAGGATCAGCTAGAACAAAGTCCACTAGTACTAACACTAATGAAAGACCTAAAGGTGGGTCTGGAGTTACGTGTCACTACTGTAACAAAAGTGGACATAAATATTCTTTTTGTTGCTTTCGTGAAGCAAATGTTTCAGGATGGGTTTGGAAACCAAAAAAACAATTCTGAATCAAGCAATACTAACCTTCCAGGACCCAAGCAAGCTTGGGTACCTAAAAGAAAGTAATCATTATATTTTGCAGGAACACCACAGAATAAGCAGCAAAGGAAAATAGTACTTAGACAGTGCGTGTTCCAATCACATGACAGGTGATAAAAACTTGTTCAAAGAAGTTACAAAAATTGATGGAGGAAATGTTAAGTTTGGGGATGACTTAAAGGGAAAGATAATTGGTACTAGAACAATTCCCTTCAATAACAACTGTGACATTACTGAAGTTTATCTCGTCGATGGACTCAACTACAATATCCTGAGCATAAGTCAACTATGCGACTCAGGATATGAGGTAAATTTTAAGAAAACAAGCTATGCTATTGAAGACGAGATAGGTAAAATAATCCTCCCAGGAAAAAGGTATAGAAATGTTTATATCATTGATGGTTTTGAAAAGATAGATGGTCATATTTGCTTAACATCTATGTTTGATGATCCATGGCTATGGCATAGGAAACTTGGTCATGCAAGCATGCATTTGATAGAAAAATTGTCCAAATATGAGTTAGTTATTGGTCTACCCAAACTGAATTTTTCTAGAATTCATATCTGTGATGCATGTCAAATAGGTAGGCAAACCAGAAACTCTTTCTAAAATAAAGATATTGTATCCATTTCTAAACCTTTGCAATTGCTTCATATGGACTTATTTGGGCCTATTAGAACTGCTAGTATAGGAGAAAAAAGATATGCTTTTGTTATTGTTGATGATTATTCACGTTTCACTTGGGTAATTTTCTTATCTCATAAAGATGAAGCACTAAGAAATTTCGAGATTTTCAGCAAAAAGGTTGAAAGAGAAAAGGGATATCTGATTTCAACAATTCAGAGTGATCATGGAGGAGAATTTAAAAGTAGAGCATTTGAAGACTTTTGTAATGATCAGGGATACACTCATAATTTCTCTGCACCACGATCACCACAGCAAAATGGGGTTGTTGAGAGGAAAAACAAAACCCTCCAAGACATGGCAAGAACCATGTTACTAGATCATTCACTGCCAAATCACTTTTGGGCAAAAGGTGTAAGTACAGCATGTCACATTCTCAACTGATGTCTCATAAGGCCTATTCTGAAGAAGACTCCTTATCAACTATGGAAAGGTAAACGTCCTAATATCAGCTACTTTCATCCCTTCAGAAGTAAGTGTTTTATTCACAATAACAGTAAGGACAACCTTCAAAAATTCGATCCAAGAAGTGATGAAGGTATTTTTGCTGGGATACTCATTAAATAGTAGATCTTTTAGAGTCTATAATAAACGGACATTATGTGTGGAAGAATCTGTACATGTTATATTCGACGAAAATAACCCCTTGGTCGAGAAAGAAATTACTGCAGGTGACGAAGATCAAGCTCAAGAAACTCAGGAGACAAGCAAATCTCAAGAGTCAGCTAATAAATCTGCTATGGTAGAGTCAACTAATGAAATCAGCAGAAGTGTACCAGATCATCCGATCGAGTCGACTACTAATGTTGTGCATCCAAATGAATGGAGAAACGAACTTGAATATCCTCAAAAATTCATCATAGAGGATCCAAATGAAGGAATGAAAACTATGGGAGCTCTCAAAAAGAAAGCAAATTTAGCATTAATCTCTCAAGTTGAACCAAAGAAGATAGAGGAAGCTCTAAAAGATTCAAGTTGGGTACGAGCAATGCAGGAAGAGTTAGATCAGTTTGGCAAAAATCAAGTGTGGAAACTAATACCTAAACCTGAATATGTTTCTGTAATCGGAACAAAGTGGGTCTTCAGAAATAAATTGAACGAGGATGGAAAGGTGGTAAGGAATAAAGCCAGATTAGTTGATCAGGGGTATTCACAACAGGAAGGAGTCGACTATGACGAAACTTTTTCTCTAGTAGATCGGTTGAAGTCTATACAAATCCTTCTGGCATATGCATCGTTTAAGGGATTTAGGTTGTTTCAGATGGAAAAACGCCTTTTTGAAAGGATTTATTGAGGAAGAAGTATACGTGAAACAACCGCATGCTTTTGTAGATTCAAAGTTTCCCTATCATGTATATAAGCTTACTAAGGCACTATATGGAATAAAGCAAGCACCACGTGCATGGTATGATAGACTTAGTTCTTTTCTTATTGATCATGGCTTCACAAGAGGTAAAGTAGACACTACCTTGTTTATTAAAAGATCATCAGAAGGTAATCTCATTATTCAGATTTATGTTGATGATATTATATTTGGTAGTGCTAACCCTCTTATGTGCAAGGAATTTTCAAATCTTATGCAAGTAAATTCGAAATGAGCATGATGGGAGAGCTAACATTTTTCCTTAGACTTCAAATTCAACAATTTGAAGAAGGAACCTTTATATGTCAGGACAAATACACAGAGGAACCGATTCAAAAATTTGGCATGAGCAACAAAATCCATTGGCACACCAATGAGTCCTTCAACGAGTCTAGACAAAGATGAACAGGGAATCCCTGTTGATGAAACTAAGTATCGTGGAAAGATTGACTCATTATTGTATCTGACTGCAAGTCGATCGGATATTATGTTCAGTGTGTGTAAATGTTCCAAGTTTCAGTCAGCTCCTAAGGAATCTCATCTGACGGTAGTAAAGAGAATCGTTCGATATCTCATTGGGACTATCTCCCATGGACTATGGTATCCTCACTCTAACTCTTTTAAATTAGAAGGTTTTTCAGATGTTGACCTTGCAGGTGATAAGGAAAATAGAAAGAGCATATGTGGTACATGTCAATTAATTGGAAAGGCATTGATATCCTGGAACAGTAAAAAACAAGCATCAGTTGCATTATCTACTACTAAAGCTGAATACATTACTATTGGATAATGTTGTGCACAATTTCTGTGGATGTCCCATCAACTGGATGACTATGAACTTTCCTTTAAACCTATATAATTTTTTGTGATAATATAAGTGTTATTTGTCTTTCAAAAAATCTTGTGCATCATTCTAGAGCAAGGCATATAGATATCAAGCATCAGTTTATTAGAGATCATGTCTTAAGGGAGACATAGAAATATCTTTTGTTGGAACAACTGATCAGTTAGCAGATATTTTTACTAAGCCGTTATTAGAGGATAGATTTTGTGCTTTAAGAAAATTACTTGGCATTGCTTGCTTGAATAATAACCTGTATGACCTATGTGTAATACAGTTACTTTTGTAGGTTTAATAATTGTCTTTTACTCTTGCATTAATTACGCCTCCGTTTTCCCTCTCTTTTCTTCTTCTTTCACATCAGTTCCGTCGTTCAAAGTTGGAAAGCCAATCATCACGTCTATTCAACTAGCGCATTTTCCTTTTCTGTACTCAACAGTTAGAAGGTTCTCTTCTTAAGGCGGATATCTCTTTTCAATCACTGTCATCCCTATCATCTAGAAAACCCTTCTCCAAAGCCCTGCTCAAACCACTATCCTTCAATGGCCAAATAACCCAAGAACCCATCCACCTCTAGCAGAAAATGTACCAGCTCCAAAGCAAAACCCCATTTTATGCCCCCAGAACAAGTAGACCTAGGGTCCAACCACTCTGAGGGTTTCGCCTCTTCACAGGGAGATTTGTCTGATCATTCTCAAATCTTAAGAGAAAAAGCCCTAGGAAAACGACCTATGGAAGACCCCCTCCCCCCCTCCCAATTTCCCTTACTCCAAAGAAATCCAAGATAGATCTTTATGGCTCTCTAGAATCTGACCTGAATTTCTGGGATTCTCCAAACATGGATCTCTTCATTGCCTTGAAAGACAAACCCATTGCTCGTGGAAGGGTAGTCGACCTCAACGACATGGAAGCCCTAAATTGTAAGGTAAAAAATCTTTTTGTTCATCAAGGGTGGTATAAGTTCCTTTCTATTCCTCTGCCTAAGGTTAATGAACCCCTGGTAAAGATGTTTTATACTAATCTTCGTTCTAGTAAACCTGATAAGTTGGAATCCTTAGTGTTAGGTAAGCGCATTGTTCTTGATTGTGCCATGTTTGATTCACTCTTTCAGTGTAAATGTTCTGGTGTTCCTATGCTTTTCAAAAATACCTGGCCCGATGATTTTGAAATTTCCTTTGATCAAGCTAAACGATGTATTGCTGAGTATCCCTCTGAATCCCTTCCCAACTAGTTAGGCCCCAGCGATGTTAGTTTCGAAACTCGAGTCTTGGCTCGCATGTAGTAACTACTCTACTTCCCTGCACTGGTTCCTTTTCCACCTTCTCTCAAAGAGATATTTTCTTAGTATACTGCCTTATGACCAAACTCAAAGTCAAGTTATCCTCATGGGTCATTAATTTCATGATTAAAAGTGTAGAAGATCCCACCGATCTACCCTATGGCATGGCCATCACTCACATTCTGGAAGTTCACCATATTTCCCTGTCCGCTTATCCCTTTATCACTGTTTCAAAATCTTACAATTCTAGAGCCTTTGCAAGTATGGAATATGTGAGTGTGAAGGGCTCCTGGGTTAAGAAGCACGAAGGTGATGCAAAGCATGCTCTTATAGATCCCAAACCTAAACCCTCTACCTCTCATCCTAGCCCTGGTGATCCTGATCTTGGTGAGAAGCTTCGTGCCATTGACATTCAACTCTATGAAATCAAAAATCTCCTCACAGCCACTCAGTCAATTGTTGGTGACATTCATGCCATCTCCAAAGAAACAGGGTCTGATGTGTCCAAGATAAGAGTTGTCGTTCTCAGAGTAAGGGAGAACGCTGTCAAGGCTTTCAGGGAAATTCATGACAAGTTGGATGGAGTGAGCATCTCAGCCAATGCTAGCTTTGAACAACTGAAGGAGGCCCTCTGCAACACTCTTACCTATTTTCTGCATCATTAATATGGTTGCTTAAGAAAAAAAATTGTTGTTCTGTTTTGGGGCTGTTAACTCAGCCATTGGACAATTTCTGTTTTTATTTTGTTTTGGTTGTTTCTTTTGGACTATAACTCTGCTGCATAATGCTATATGTTTTGTTTAAGTTCGTGGTTTGTTTTGTTTGTATTTATTCCCTCTTTGCTGATGCAAAAAAGGGGGAGAAGAGTATATGTATTTGTATACAAGTATAGTCGACTGAAGGGTAAATATATGCTAGCATCCTCTACGGCAGGAGTCGACCACAACATCTATAAGCATGGACTAGTCAATTGCATGAACTGAGGGGGAGTACCATGAACCAATCAACCACATACATTGAGGGGGATTAAAATATAGGGAAGTCAACTGTTGTTTATACATATATATTATTTTGTTATCATCAAAAAGGGAGAGATTGTTAGATTTGATTTTAATGATGCAAATAATATATCTGTGCAGAAACTCAAGGAAGCATCCAAGATTGAAGGAATTAAGAGGAAAGAAAGCATCCAAGATTGAAGGAATCACGAGGAAGGAATCAATTAACCATCTCGAGATTCAGAATCAATCAGAGATTGATTTAAATGGAAAAGAAGCAATCGAAGATCTTGCTAGATAATCAATCAAGCTGCTATTTTCAGAAAGACCAATAATCAAGGAGTAAATCTCGCGTTATCAAAGCCTGTAGAAGGAAAGCTATCAATGAGGAAGAGCAACGACAAGCTGCTAATTTCGGAAGGACCAACAATCAAGGAGTAAAACTCACTCATCAAGATTTGTAGAAGGAAAGCTATCAATGCCCTCTTATCAAGGAAGAGCAACGGCAAATAACTTTATTCTTGGAATGAATCAATCTCTTTCCAAGGATCAAATCTCTTGGGTTGTCAAATCTCTTCAGCAAACGGCCTCCTACAAAGTATTTATACATATCCTTAAGGCTTAGACAAATATACTTTGATCGAACCAAACACCCTCTCTTTGTTCTACTGCAAACAAATATTGTAGCTCTCTAAGACCTGCTGTGTAACAAGTTAGAGAAGAAAGAGAGAACAATACTAGTGAGACATTGTATCAAAAGAGACAAGTGATATAGGAACTGAGCTATCATGCCATTTCCATTGTACTCGAAGAAACGCACTCACTAAAGAGAACTCCCTTGCAACCCAAGGGGGCTAGACTAGGATTCACATTGAATCCGAACCAGTATAAAAAATGTCTTTAATTCTTGCATTTACTTTCATCATCTTATATTTTTGTTATTACAACTTTTAGTTTATTGCATCTAGTCGACTAATCGAAAAACCAGTCAACTAACAGAGATTAAGTTTAAAAATATACAATTCACGCCCATTTTGTACTTTCAAATTTTACTCTCCCTTTCTTAATATGTACAAGCCAATCTTTTTTTTCCCCCAATCTCTTCATATTTTAGAAACCCCTACATGTTTTTGTCTTTCTCTTTAATATTCTTACTCACCTTGTTTCTCCAAGATTTTATTACTCACTTTCTTTTTCCAAGATTTTTATTAGTTCTACTATTCAATAATGTAACTATTAGTGGTTACTTCTACAGCTCGAACCCGTGACACATAGGTCATACAAAGATATTTTTACTGAATACTTTTACTCCAAAAGTCCCCTTCAAATACTAGATCAAGATTCATAATAATTTAACAGTACTGTGAGTTTAATACTAAAAATCTTAAAAATTAAATCTATCAAAATTTTAATGTTAAATTCGTCTCTCGGAATAAATAGATAAAGAGGTATATTCAGAAAAAGAAAAACCGAAAGAGGAAAGGAGGGTGGCAATGGCGAAAACCAGCAGAAGAAGAAAGGAAAAAAAAAAAAAAAAAAAA